GGGGGGGGGGGGTAAAGCACTCCCTAACAAAGACGGTTTCATACCCAGGGGCTCGAACTCAAAACCTCTGATTAAGGATGAAGGAGTACTTACCACTCCACCACAACCCTTGTTGGTCCACAAATATATACTAAGAGATAAACAACTAGCTTTTAGTTTAGGATGTTGCGTGGAGGAAATTATCAAATCTACCAAGTCTCGCATGGGATTAATGGGATGATGAACATCATTTTTCTCATATTAGATTAATGCCCAATTTGGCAGTTTGCTGAGTTCTCAAATCTTACGACTTCCCCCAACAAATGATTACTCTAACTCAACTAATTTTAATCCAAATACCTAAACGCACGCTGCTGCCTCCCCACCCTCCAAAAACTAATCTAATATGGCAAATCATAAAAGTAGAAAAAGAGTGAAAATGCATTATCTACGAAAAGGAAACTTTTACTTCCTAGACGTTCCCAGCATTGCAAAGAAACCCACAAAACTTCTATTATTTGAGATAGTATAAACTCACGGTACTTTTTAACCAATAATGTCTAAATAAGAGAGGTCGTTTGAGATAACTTGGTTGGGTATTATGCAGTTGTTTGACCATATTATTAGTTTTGGCATTTTTATCCAAGCACGTAAATATCTATTTAAAATCAGTTTCAGAACTTACAAATGCTTTTTAGCACTTCAAGCTTATCAGTTAGTATTTACAATCAGCTAATTCAAACAGGTTCTTAGTATAATAGACAAGTAAAAACGAATTGAGGGAGTAATTAAATATTTTAATAAAATGTTTTAAAATCAAGCAAAATGGACACTGTGATGTAAACCAACTTATCAAGATGAATTTCTTGAATAGAAAATCTGAAAACTATGCTCGAAATTAAATTATTGAGCAAGTTACCTCTCAAAACACCATGTTGCTGGTTAATAATAATTGCACATGTAACAATCTCATAGATGCATCTTATGTGGTATACATGGCAGGTGAATGAGCTCATATTCACCTTTGATATTTTCGGCATTCATGGGATTCAATCCCAATTTTAGTTGGTCTATTAATTAATGAGAACAAGTAACATAAGAGAATTCGTAAAGAACTTTCTAGTTCTTTAATATTTACCCATGTAAATTCTCTTTTATTTTTGCACATCATACTTAAATCAAGATTGCTCAATAGGCCATGTTTGATATACCACACTCACCTCTAGAAGGAGGATTGAGATGATATAAGAAAATAATGTCATTATTATGACATGAATGGTCATTGGTCACGTACCTATTGTAAGCCAAAATATTTTGATAATTTAATTATTAAATGACAATAATAATACAAGAAACATATTTTGCATATAATTTTGACCATGACCATAATGATATAACTTTCTCCTTGAAAGATATATATGACGATATAGCTTGTACTATTAGTTAAACTTTGGATGTTCCCATTCAATTAACAAAAAAATCACAACTTTGAATTTAAAAAAAAATAGCAGTATATAAAGGGAAAATTATAGGGAAGGCGAAAAAGAGGAAAAGAGGAAAAAGTGGAGAGAATATGGTAATGAAGGCCACATATACCCCCTCATTAACGCACTGTCCCCTTCATTCTTAAAGCTTTTTCCACGAGAATTCCGCTTTGCTTCTTCTCTAATCGAAAATCATCAAATTTATAATCAATCAAATCAAACGATAAACATATTTAATAATTTTGTAGATCACACACAGTGTGAGTAAATCCGGTTTGATCCATTCACCGATCATGTCATGTTCACCGTCGTCATCGTCGGCATCGGAAGATGAAGATGAAGGAATGGATTCATACAGAAAAGGAGGATATCATGCCGTGAGAATCGGCGATTCATTCTCCGGCGGCCGATATATCGCTCAGCGAAAACTCGGCTGGGGTGAATTCTCCACCGTTTGGCTCGCTTACGATACGCGATCGTCCGTAAGTCTTTTTTATTCCTTCAAAATATTCTTCCTTTTTTTGATAAAAAGTTTATTGATCAATACTATTTCCTCTTTTTGTTTCATTTCCGTGATTTTGTTTTACGCGGATTTTGTGTGAATTCATCAAAATATATGCTTATTTGAGATCGTCAGTGCTCTTGTTATTTCACGAGTAGTGAAAAGTTTTGTGACCTAAGGTTTAATCTTAAGTGATGAAGATCGTCTTTGTTTGTGGCTAAGTTATTACTCGAGATGCTTTTATCAGTGAAATGCAATTTGGAATATGCAACTGATTATAGTTATTCTTTTCTCTATGATTAATCAAATTGGATCACACCTTGATTTAGTAATTGTACCTTTCAACTGGTGGATAATAATCGCCAGTTGTTAATTAAGAATGAGTTTTATATAGGGGACAGTTTAAACAAATTTTTACACTATCAGGTTTCCCAAGAGATATTTACAAGTAACCCTCCACAAAAAGTGGTACTTGTAACTTGTTACAAGGCAAGTTACCTGCTACAACGGTACATGCGACCTGATACCATCGGTGGATATTAGTTGAACTCATTAAGAATTTTTGTCGTAGAGGATTCTATTTGAGCAAGTTGAATGAGAGGAGTGAGCATTTAGTTTTTGTATTGCTTTCGGTTTTCCCAAGTTTCTTTTTTGGGAGATACAAATTACAAAAGCAAACAACTAGTTTGGATGTCTGATACATTCCAGATCGTTTCTGTTCTTTTTTGTTTTCCCAAACTAGAGCTAATGAGGCAAGCTCTGCCTATTTGAGTTCCACAAATCAGATCTACTCTTACTCTTTTAGACCTTTTAAAGGAGGAAGGTCGCCGTAGATTGATAGCTAAAGTAAAAGAAGTCCAACTATGGTGGATACTGATTTAGAAGAAGAGTGGAATGGATACACAGGGTTTGTATTGTGGATTCCGACCAGTTTAGGATTGCGAAGTAGTTGATTGGTCGATTGATCGGTTGGCAGCTGCCAGGGATTTGAAGTCGGACATTGTCACATTGGAGATCGAATTTGTAGCATTCTGGCTACTGAGTTGTTGCACAGGGCTTTTTGTCAGGATCTCCAAGGGCAATGTTTCCCCTCTGTCTCCGAGAGACAAGAAATGACACTAGCACAAACAGATGCTACTCTGCTACCTTATGCTGCATTTCAAGATAACCGAATGCGGAATGCCTATTCCTATTTATTTTTCTTATCCACTTTGATCAGGTTCAGCCTAACCTATCTTCTTGTTTATTTGGATGGTATTACATGTTTTTGCATATCTATATGTTTGGTGATAGTTACTTGATACCCTCCCCGACTTTCCTAACAGAGCTTTAGTGTTATTAGTTATTACACTAGGCCTCAAGTAGGGTTCCTTTTCTTTTCTCTCTATTCATGCTTCTTGTCTATACCAACCATCTTGAGCAAGTAATGTCTGCTACTGCTTACACAGTGAAATAATCTCCATTCAGTTTTAGGCTTTTAATCATTACCATCGTCGCCATTTCTTTATGATGTCAGACTTGGTATATATATATGCTTTTGTTTGTGATGAATGTGATGCATATATGAAGTCTCTTTTTCAAGTTGTGAGATCTCTTACGCAAGCAGCAGTTTTAAAATCCTTGATGCTGAGAATAATTTTGTGCATGCAGTTAACACTGTTTGGAGACCTACGGCCCATAGTAAAAAATGCTTGAAATGAACTTTATCTCCAAATGTCTCATGATTTCTTATAATGAAATATTCTGAGCTCCATAGAGCAACAATTTAATTTAAGAAGTTTGAATGTTTCCATGTCAAAAGCATTTATTTTGTGGGGGCATTTGACCTGGTTTGGAGTCAACAGCCAACAGGTCGTTGGTGATTTTTCTGAGCTAGAATATCAATCCATTAGCTTCCTTCGTTATGGAAATTCAAGGATATTTTTTTTATTTGTGTAGAATAATCACATAGAATTGCTCTTCTTTGGAGAATATTTTTGTTCGTTGTCTAACTGATGGTAAGCCACCTAGTAAGCGATGAAAAGCTTCAAAAACATCTGGTTTCAAATCTATCTCCAACAAGAATGTGCCGTAGATTTCCTTTTGTGTATTCTCATTGTGGATGGTTTTGAAGTCCTACAGATTTTTTGAATTGTTTTCTTGGACTATGAAGTCTAATATACTTAAATTTGTTTTGGGTAGGGATTTGTAGCCTTGAAGATCCAGAAAAGTGCGCCACAATTTGCTCAAGCTGCTCTTCACGAAATTGAAATCCTTTCTGCTATTGCCGACGGTGATCCCTCTAATAGTAAATATGTTGTTAGACTTATTGACCATTTTAAGCATACAGGTCCAAATGGACAGCATTTATGCATGGTCCTTGAATTTCTTGGTGACAGCTTATTGCACCTCGTCAAATATAATCGTTATAAAGGCCTTGAACTGAACAGAGTTAGGGAAATATGCCAGTGCATTCTAACTGGTCTAGATTATTTGCACAGGGAACTTGGACTTATTCATACAGATCTAAAACTTGAAAATGTTCTTTTACTTTCCACGATTAATACCACAAAGGATCCAATTAGATCGGGAATGGCGCCGATACTTGAAAGGCCTGAAGGGATCCCAAATGGAGGAGCAACAATGAATATTATTGAGAAAAAGCTAAAACAAAGGGCAAGGAGGGCAGCAGCCAGGATATCTAATAGACGAGCTTCAATGGGTGGGGTGGGCGGAGTTGCGAAAGCAAATAGAAGTCTTGATGGAATTGACATAAGGTGCAAAGTTGTGGATTTTGGAAATGCATGCTGGGCTGACAAGCAGTTTGCACAAGAAATTCAAACACGGCAGTATAGAGCTCCAGAAGTTATACTTCAGTCTGGATATTCATTCTCTGCTGACATGTGGTCTTTTGCTTGTATTGTATTTGAGCTTGCTACTGGGGAGATGATGTTCACACCCAAAGGTGGACAAGGTTTCAGTGAAGATGAGGTAGGAAAAATTCATCTATCCCTTTTTTGGCCCCGTTCTTTCGGTGTTACTATCGTGCTCGGTTCCTTTTGTTTCAATGTTATCCGTCTTCTTAACTAGGAGAACTGGGGGACCACTGGATTGTTGGAGTGGGCGGAAGGCCCTCACTTTATATTAGACATGTTTACGAAGTTTATTTTGATCTAAGATCAGCTTTTTTTGTACATGTGAAGTGGAGTTATCCAATGGATTTTATTGCAGTCAAAAGTTTTTCACAAGCAGCACTTGTATGTATTTCTTAGTATCTTTTTTGGTTCCAGGATCACCTTGCTATGATGATGGAGCTTCTAGGAAAGATGCCCCGGAAGGTGAGCGCATTGTTTTGCTTTCGTGACCCTGTAAGAATTCTTTTGAGAAGTAATCGTTAATATTATATCTTATAAAAACTGTTGGTAAAGCAGATAGCCAATGGTGGGGCTCGCTCTAAAGATTACTTTGACAAATATGGAGATTTGAAGAGGATCCGGAGGCTGAAGCACGGGTCTTTAGAAAAGTTACTTATTGACAAATTTCGATTTTATGAAATTGATGCCCATGAATTTGCCAAATTTCTTTGTCCCCTTCTTGATTTTGAGCCAGAGAATCGACCAACGGCTCACCAGTGCTTGCAACACCCATGGCTCAACGTTAAAAGTCTAAACCAAACAGAGGTGAAGAGTGAATCTGGTGTGGAAACGGTCAATGTCGGGATGAGAAACCTACATATGAAGGGCGGTAAGTGATGTATGAATGAATGGATGGGTGATCTTCTCACTGCAAAGTGCCTACCTTTTGCCTCTCTCCCTCAGTATCAGATTGCTTGTGAATTAATTTTGGATTTTTTAAAGGTTGAATTAGATTCAAGTGATTGGTTAGACATAGCTGTATTAATTTGATTGATTACGGGGAGGAAACGACCTCCAGAAGGAGAAATTGGCATCAGTTCTGAAATATTCCTCGGTTAAGCTTCCACGTAGTTGTTTTAATGATGTTGACATTCACCAAAGAGATAATCCTGCATTCCGCAAACAATTAAGGTTCCCATGTTCTTTTTGAAGGTCTGGGGGGAATGAAGCAAGCTCCAGAATGAGTATATGGGATCCTCTTGATGTGGAGTGTGTGTTGTACATTAAACATCTAAAGAGTGGATTCTGTGGAGGATTTTTCTTCTCCATTTCTGCAGGCAGAAAGTGGCAGGAGAAGCTAAGGCCCCCAATTTTTATTTTTTATTTATTTTAACTCAGGTTGAGGTCCTTGTAACAACAGATATATAAATTTTTGTATACGTTACTCTGAAAATATTAGTTCTCACTGAATTTTACATGAACCTACCATTTTTTCTTGTTGCGTCTAATGCTTGTGACTACACTCTGGATTACATGGAATAAATGCCTTAAAGGTTAGTAGAGAACTGGAGCTCATAAATAAAGATCATGGATAGTTATGTAACAGTCGCTTTCTCAAAACAATGCCCAGTGATTTTGTCACATAATTGAATGTTCGGACAATAATTATTTTTAAAACCAATCAAACAAACAATTATAATATAGGGATTAGTAATACATGGATTAGTTATACAAAGATTATTTATTGTTGGATGTTTGGTGTATTGCACTAAAATTAAATATTGTACAAGATACTATTTAAAAAATAATATATTGAAAAGCAATGAGTTTACAATTATACCCTTGGATGCTTGACTTTTATTGGCTTCTAGGAAAAGGACACGGATAATTTTGATTTTTTTTTTTTTCATGTTTAAGTTATACATGGATTAGTTATTCCATATTGATAATAGTATGAAGTTAAACCAAAATTGGTGTATAACTTTATACAAGGATTAGTTATACGTGATTCAAAATTTAAACCAAATATTGGATAAAAAGTTATCCAATTACCATAATTCTTATAAGTATATTATACCAAACGATAATGATGCAACTTGCAGAAAATAGGCTATTGATAGATATAAATAGAGTGCGGGGAAGAATGAAGGGTTGTAATTTAACAGCAACAACAGTAAATTATAAAATCTACGCCTCAAATTCAACTTCAAACAAGTTGAAATAGGTACCTTGAATAGTCACTATCCATGTTAATTCCATCTCAATGAAAAAGAAACCGGGCAGAATGTACAATTGGTGAAAGTGATGGATCCACCTACGCGGCTTTGAGGAATAAATGGAAATTGATGGGCTTTGACGTGAAAGAGACCCAATGGCTGCAAATACAGATAGAGGGACCACGTGCGAGAGAAATTTAAAATTTATAAGCGGTCATTTCAAAAGTACTCGAAATTTAACCACTTTTCATGTAAAAATAAATTTGAACAAAAAAACTATTTAAAATCCGAAAAATATTCTAGCATAAGTATACCGGAACTCCAGTATATTATACTGGAGTTCCAACATAAGTATACTGGGCTTCCAGCATAATATACTGGAGTTCCAATATAATATACCGGTCCAGAATAATATGCTGGAAGTTCATACACATGTGCTCCAATCTCCAATATATTATGCTAGAACCTTTCATATTGCAGCAAAATAGTGGCTATTTTTCAATAGCTTTGCAAATATTAGCTATTTTTCAATGGCCAGTCCAAAAATGGGCTAGCCCGTGCTATTTTTACACAACGTGCACATCCAATTTCGTAGTAAAACTTCTAGGCTTTTGGCACATAGTACTATATATTTAAAGAAATTTTACCTCCTATAACAAACTACTTATACAGGTTGTACTCTGTCTGTAGTACTATTGTTGGCAACCATGCATATTAGATTGGTAGTTGATACCCATTATGAACACTTTAAGGTTGACGACATCCTGATTACAATTTATCAAACTAATAATATATTCCTGTAAAATCACACTCCTGTTATATCTGAAAAAGAACCAGCGGGAGCTTTGCTATCTACACTTGGTAAGGTAATCTAATAGGAAAAGTAGGTCGACAAAATTGTATATAGAAGGAAATCTTCCGTATGAAAAGTAGTTGCAATACAGTTAGCAGCAAGCATGTGTAATGACAATATGGAGAAGTATATCATGCCGCTTACAACCTCAAAAATGTAATGAATACACGTGTTGAGAAATAAAACATTGTGAGATTAATTATACTGGCTTTCAATGTTCAGTATAATTGTTTAGTGTTATACTCAAGACTAATAGGATGCCTGAAGAGTGGAGGTGGAGTACAATGGTCCCGTTGTATAAGAACAAAGGTGATGTACAGAGCTGTAACAACTATAGGGGCATCAAATTACTAAGTCATACCATGAAAGTTTGGGAGAGAGTGGTAGAAATGAGAGTGCGAAGGACGGTGTCTATTTCAGACAACCA